TAGTTTGGACAGAGGTTTGTCTATTTTGTTGATTTTCTCAAAGAACCAACTCTTTGTTTCATTGATTCTTCTCAATGTTTTCCTGGTTTCTACTTGATTGATTTCAGCCCTCAATTTCATTATTTCCTGGCGTCAGCTCCTCCTGGGGGAGTTTGCTTCTTTTGTTCTAGAACATTCAGCTGTGCTATTAATTCTCTAGTATGACTGTTCTCCAGTTTTTTCATGTGGGCACTTAGTGCTATAAACTTTCCTCTCAGCACTGCTTTCAAAGTGTCCCATAAGTTTGTGTATGTTGTGTCTTCATTCTCATTGAAATCGAGGAAGTCTTTAATTTCTTTTTTTATTTGTTCCTTTACCCAGGGATGGTGCAATTGTGCATTGTTCAATCTCCATGAGTTTGTAGGGTTCTGCGATTTGTGTTATTGTTGAATTCTAATGTTAATGCATGGTGGTCTGATAAGATGCAGGGGGTTATTCCAATTTTTTTGTATCTGTGGAGATTTGCTATGTTTTCTATTATGTGGTCAATTTTAGAGAAGGTTCCATGTGGTGCCGAGAAGAAGGTATATCCCTTTGTATTTGGGTGGAATGTTCTATAGATGTCTGTTAAACCCAGTTGGGTCATAACTTCTATTAATTCTTTTGTTTCTTTGTTAAGTTTCTGTCTGGAGGTCCTATCTAGCGGTGAGAGCGGAGTGTTGAAGTCTCCTACTATTAGTGTGTGAGATTTTATGTGCATTTTGAGCTTTAGTAATGTTTCTTTCACGAATGTAGGTGCCTTTGTATTTGGGGCGTAGATATTTAAAATCGAGACTTCGTCTTGATGTATTTTTCCTTTGATGAATATGAAGTGCCCTTCTTCATCTCTTTTGATTGATTTTAATTTGAAGCCTAATTTGTTAGATATTAGGATTGCTACGCCCGCTTGTTTCTTGGGGCCGTTTGATTGGAAGATCTTTTCCCAGCCCTTTACTCTGAGATAACGTCTGTCTTTGGTGTTGAGATGTGTTTCTTGTATGCAGCAGAAGGAAGGGTTCTGTCTTCGTATCCATTCTGCTAGTCTGTGTCTTTTTATAGGTAAGTTGAGGCCATTGACATTGAGGGATATTAATGACCATTGATTGGTGATCCTTGTTTGCGCTTGATTTATTGTTAGTGAAGTTATTTTGTGTAGTTTCTCCTCCCTTTTTCTTTTAGTGTTTTGTAAAGTATGATTCTATATTGCCTGTGTCTTTGTGAATGTAGTTATCTTCCTTGGCTCTAGGTTTTCCTTCTAGCATTTTCTGTAGAGCTGGATTCATGGATACGTATTGTTTAAATCTGGCTTTGTCATGGAATATTTTGTTTTCTCCATCTATGGTAATTGAGAGCTTTGCTGGATATAGTAGTCTGGGCTGGCATCCTTGTTCCCTTAGCGTTTGTAGGACATCTGACCAGGATCTTCTGGCTTTCATCGTTTCCATTGAGTAGTCAGGTGTAATTCGGATAGGTCTGCCTTTATATGTTACTTGGCCTTTTTCTTTAGCTGCTCTTAATATTTTCTCTTTGCTCTGTAGGTTTGATGTTTTGATTATTATATGGCGAGGTGACTTCTTTTTCTGGTCAAGCCTATTTGGTGTTCTGTAAGATTCTTGTACTTTCATAGGCATATCTTTCTTTAGGTTAGGGAAGTTTTCTTCTATGATTTTGTTGAATATGTTTTCTGTACCTTTAAGTTGAAGTTCTTCACCTTCTTCTATACCTATTATTCTCAGGTTTGGCTTCTTCACGGTGTCCCATATTTCCTGAATATTTTGTGTTAAGGATTTGTTGGTTTTGAGATTTTCTTTGGTTGACGATGCTATGTCCTCTAATGAGTCTTCAACACCTGAGATTCTCTCTTCTATCTCTTGTATTCTATTGGTGATGCTTGCATCTGTAATTCCAGACCGTTTACCGAGCTTTTCTATTTCCAGCATCCCTTCATTCTGTGTTTTCTTTATCGTTTCTATTTCAGCTTTCAATCCTTCAACTGTTTGAGCTGTTTCCTTAATTTTCTTGGTTGTTTTTTCTTGGTGCTCTTTAGATTCTTTGAGAGATTTGTTTATTTCTTGAATTTTTCCCCCATTTCATGGATTTTTTTGTTTGTTTTTTCTTCTATTTCTTTAAGGGATTTCCTCGTTTCTTCTTTGAGTCTCTCCATCATCTTCATGAAATAATTTTTATTCTGTCTCCTCTTCTTCATCTATGTAGTGCTTTTCAGGTCTTGCTGGTGTTGGATCCCTGGATTCTGGTGGGGTCGTGTTGGTGTTTCTATTGCTGAGTGATCTCTTATTCTGTCTTCTTCCCATCTCTTCTTCCAGTGGGTGCTGGTGGGGGCTTTCTGTTTCCACTGGTCTCCTTCCTTACTGCAGCTGAAGCTGAAGCTGGCCTCGCTGGGGTTGGGGTCTTGGAGGGGCTGATCTCTTTCCTGAAGCTGGGCTCGCTGGGTTGGGGTCTTGGAGGGGCTGATCTCTTTCCTGTGTGGGCGGCTCTTCTGAAGCTGGGCTCGCTGGGTTGGAGTCTTGGAGGGGCTGATCTCTTTCCTGTGTGGGCGGCTCTTCTGGAAGCCGGGAGAGGCCCCGAAGATGGAGGGGGATGGGTGATGGGCGGGTGATCCCAGCCGGGGACCCAGTCTCACCTGAAGCTGGGCTCGCTGGGTTGGGGTCTTGGAGGGGCTGATCTCTTTCCTGTGTGGGTGGCTCTTCTGGAAGCCGGGAGCGGCCCCGAAGATGGAGGGGGATGGGTGATGGGCGGGTGGTCCCAGCCGGGGACCCAATCTCACCTGAAGCTGGGCTCGCTGGGTTGGGGTCTTGGAGGGGCTGATCTCTTTCCTGTGTGGGCGGCTCTTCTAGAAGCCGGGAGCGGCCCCGAAGATGGGGGGGATGGGTGATGGGCGGGTGGTCCCAGCCGGGGACCCAATCTCACCTGAAGCTGGGCTCGCTGGGTTGGGGTCTTGGAGGGGCCTGTGTGGGCGGTTCTTCTGGAAGCCGGGAGCGGCCCCGAAGATGGAGGGGGATGGGTGATGGGCGGGTGAGAAATTCTTAGCAGTAATATACAACTGGAAAAAGGGGGCAGAGAGATGTCTCAGTAAGTAACTGTGCTTTCTGCCAAACCTGAGGACCTGAATTTGATACCTGGGACTCACATGACAGAAGGCTAGAATCAATTTCTTCTGGTTGTTCTGTGTTCTTCATATATGCATTATGGTACATGGTATACACACACACACACACACACACAGAGAATAAATTAAAAATTAGAAAATGACAAAAACTTCCCTCAATCCCTTCATCCCAAATAATGCCATACAATCAAGCAAAACAATCTAGAACATTACAAACAAAACAGGAGATGACAAGGAATGAAGAGAAAGTGCCCGAGGCCAGGACTGCTTACCCTTGTCTTCCATCAAGGACTGATAAAACAAAACTCTTATGACTAAAAGAATGTTAGGAATATATAATCACTAGGACACCTGAATAAGAGTTGAAAAGGAAGTTTGTTCTGGACAGTAGGCAAGCAAAAATATTTATTCCTCCTGGCTTTAGTACCTACATGGATTTACTTAGTTTTTATTTAAAACTAGCTTCCTGGGAACACGTCTGTTCTGCAATATGAGACACAGCTGTTTGTTGTAAGTCTCCTGTTGCCTGTTCAATGGTATCCGTAGCAGTTTCGACTTGTAATCATGGGCTGTCCATTTCCAGCTTGTGGGGTGTTCATAATCCAGAATTAATCCTTTTTAAAAAGTCTAAAGTAACTACTCAGGACCAAAAGTGCATGGCTATCAGAGCTCTGGGTGACTGCTGTAAATAGCTCTTTTTCCCATTTCTCTGAATCTCTTCAGACCCTCAAACAAAGTCGGGAAAAAATAAGTCTATTTGAATAAATGCAACTTTATATTCTAAAAGGTAGATATGCAAACTGAATCTGTGATTCCTCGGGGGATGGTTCACACATCTGCCTTCCATTAGTAAAACTTGCTGAAGTTTAAGTGTGGTGAGGGGTCATCTGACCTCATGCCTCATTTAATAGGTCAGGGAGCAGGCTCACAGAAGTGCAGCCGTCCACCCCAGCTAATGAGAAAAGATCCTGGGTCCTCACTCCTTGCCCGACCTTTGCCTCTGAGCTGAACTACTTCTATGACACGTGACCTCCCAGAGATGCCAGAAAAATGAAAGTTCCCAGAAACAACCAAGGAAAAACTACATGTACTTTCAGATACAATTTCTGAATATTCTCAGGGCTTTAAGCTTGGTGCTTGATTTGGAAGTAAAGGTGAAACCCCAAGGAGTGAGAGGCATGCCAACTGCTTTAAATTAACCTCTAGGTGTCCCCTGTGCTATGGGGATTTCACACTTTGTGCAGCTGAGGTTTAAAATGAAATAGCTGTGTGAAGTAGTGTATGCCACTGTAACATATGAGACATTTGATTTACCTAATAGTACTCTCTCTTCTGTATAGCTCCAAATCTGTATGAATATATTAGTACAGACATTCCAGGCCAAGGTAGGCGAGAGCTCTCTGAAATGCCATGCTTCCTTTGTTCTGTATTTTCCTTGCTACAGCAGTCTTCGTGTCTGCTGTTTTAGGGGCAATGGTATAAGGTGATAAAAGACTTTTTGACCCAGGTAGAGTGTCACATAAACAGGAATAAACCTTTGTTGTACTAAACTGTTTAGGGATACAGCCTAATCAAAATGGAAGTTTGCAATAGCTACTTCAAAGTGACTCTCCTGTATCCATGAGTGGTGAGCTTCCTGGTTACCATAGAACTTAAGGAAAATATTTCTTTTATCCAAAGAATAAAACACACTCCAGTTTCTCTAAGTGTTGTGCATTTCTTGTTTTTTTAAAGGAGAAAGAGATTAGTATGAAGAATATCCTTTATATTAAATATCTCTGCTTACTGTTATTAAAAGGGAAAATTGGTGATACTTTGTTCTTTTTATTCGTTTGTTTGTTTTGTTTTTCATTAGTTCGTGCCACATGTCTCAGTGGAAAAGAGACCAACATTCTGCTCCTTTTCCTACTGCAGGTAAGTTTTATAATTCTCACGGCAATATTATTCTGTCCTTTATCATAATTATAATTGCAAAAAATGAGCATAACATTTTAATATAAGACTTCAAAGAAATTCATTCATGGAGAGAATTGTTGCTTTATCTACCTGATATTTGTAACACTGACCAGAAGGACAATACTTAACCTTCAGATGTTAAAATTAAAGTAAGCAGAAATCACTATCTGGTTCACACTCACACAAGTGTCAGTGCCTGTGAAATCCTCAAGTGAGACAGGTATAGCCAAATGGGACACAGTGTGATAAGCACGTTTAAATTTGAAGTACCATGTTTAATTTAGGACCTGACTGATCTTTGCCAGTGTTTTTGTTTGTAGGTGCTTGGGTCAGTGTCCCTTTCTTTCTCTATGTCAGAGTGAATCCTACTTTGCTAGAGGAGGGTCAGTGAGCTCCGTTCTTCCTTTTTGGCATTTGTTCTCGACCCACAGGAAAGGAAGAAATACACCAAGGCTACAGAGTAAGGTACTAGTATTCTTGACACCTCCAAAGAGAATTGTTTCAAGTACTTCATTTTATTAGACACTGATAATTAGCTCTTTCCAAGGGGAGGGAGTTAGGGAAAGAGAGAGAGAGAGAAAGAGAGAGACAGAGACAGAGAGAGGGAGAGGGAGAGAGAACAAACCATGTTTGTACTTCCCGACTCTCTGGTCTCGGGATCCATCAGCAATCAGAGCTGTAAGCTGTCAGCAAAGAGGGCTGATGGAAACCTGCACACCTCCTTCTTCTGTTTCATCCTGGTGGAGTTTCGATTTGGTAGACAATCTGTGTTTGTGAGGTTGTGTGTGGGGGAAATAATTGGGGGATTAAGACACGTTCCAAACAGGAATAAAAGCTGGATTAAAAGAAAAACCTCTGTAAGAGCATGTCACCATTCTATCTTCAGGGCAGTTGGTTCAGCAGGATTATTATTATTATTATTATTATTATTATTATTATTGTTATTATTATTATTATTGTGTGACCTCTCTGGTTAAAACTTCAGTGACTTTTCCTGGGAACTGTTTGTGTTTTCATTGCTCTGCCACTTGTCTCTTCTCATGGAGATTATCTTGATGGTAAAGAATGGGAAACAACTAGGAGGTCAAGAAAGGGTAGAAGAGTGAAATGCCAAGAGATAAAAGGAAAGGTGTTTAGGAGGCTGTAAGATAAGCAGGCCAGGGAGGCAAACCGTGAGGCACTTGTCTCTATAATGAGCGTAAACTCTGGGTCTCTCAGTTAAATAATATCACGATGTGTTGCCTTGCTCTCTGATCATTGTAAGAGCAATAGATTTCTAGCAAGAGATCTCAGTCCAAGGAATGGCAAGTCCCAGCTACTTTCTGATGATGCTGGGTTATAAGACAGCCATGTCTCACCTGCCCCACTCTGCTTTGCTGTTTCACTCTCTCCTTCCTCCAGGGACTGCTCAGCTTGGCTCATGGAGCCTCCCAGTGGCCCTCAGCTGCCTCAAGACAGAAACATAGCTTTCTTCTAGGCCTTTCTCCTTGTCTTGCTTTTCTTTTCAAGGTACAGGTAGAGGTCAAGGACACTCCATTTGAATCCAACAGCATCTATTTTGGTTTGCTTCTTTCCAAATGCCATCTACCCATGCCAAAGTGACAAACATTAATGAAGCCACTAGTGGGCAGCTCTTAAGCTCCATGTTATTCTTCTCAGGCAATACTTTAATACACAAAGTCATTTTAGACATTCTTGTTGGAAATTCAGAATTTCTGGCAGGATTTGAGAGAGATGGTTTTTAAACATGGAAAGACTTTCCCAAAAGCTTGATCTTATGAAACTATAGAAATGAATGACTGGATGTGGTGGCCTATCACCTGGGAGGTAGAGGCAGGAGGATCAGGACTAGGCTTTGCTGCTTAGAAAGTTAAAGACCAGCCAGAACTATATGAGCCCCTGCTTCAGGAAATCAGTATGGAGATTCTTCAGGAAAATGGGATTCAGCCTACCACAAGACCCAGCAAATGCACTCTTATTCATATACCCAAAAGATGCATATTCATACAAGGATGTGTGTTCTGCTATATTCATAGAAGCATTATTTGTAATAGCCAGAACCTGGAAGCAACCTAGATGCCCCTCAACTGAAGAGTGGAGAGAGAAAATGTGGTACATTTGCATAATGTAGTACTACACAGCAGATAAAGAAACAATGGAATCCTGAAATTTGCAGGCAAGTCAATGGCACTAGAAGAAACCATCCTGAGTGTGGTAACCCAGTCACAAAACGAGAAACTCATATATGGATTTTAGACATGAATCAGGGGGAGTGCCAGCATTGCATAAAATCCCACTGCCAGAGAGTCTGGGAAAGAGAACCTTTAACCAATGATTGATGGAAGCAGAGGCAGACACACACAGCTAAACACTGAGGTGAACTCAAGGAACCCAGTGACAGAGAGGGAGGATTGATGAGCAAAGGGCTTGTTTACCCCACAGAAACAGCTGACCTGACACGGGGGAGTTCTTGAACCCCAGAGTGATGCTGGGAATCCAGCATGGGACTGATCCAGACCCCATGAATGTGGTTGCCAGTGAGGAGCCCGAGGCAATCTGTGGGGCCTTGGGCAGTAGATCAGTATTTATGCCTGGCATACAAATGGGCTTTGAGTGCCCATCCCACAATGAGGGATGCTCTCTCAGCCTGGATTCTTGGAGGGAGAGCCTAGGCCCTGCCCTGGATGAAATGACAGACTATGGACACCCCCCATGGAGGGTCTCACCCTCCCTGGGGAAAGGGGTTGGGGGAGAGGGTGTTGGGGGGTTGGTGGGAAGGTGTGGGAGGAGGGGAGGGAGAGGGAGCTGGGATTGACATGTGAAGCAACCTTGTTTCTAATGTAAATTTAAAAATAAAAAATGAAAAATGGAAAAAAGAAAAGCAAACAAATAGAGATAAATAGTAATTTTAAATTTAACTCTTGTAAATTGTTTCTGCCTTGTTTTATTCACAGAAATAAGATGATAAACCCCATTAATTGGCAGTTATTAGTATAAAATCACTTTAGATAATCCAGAGAAAGCAATTGTCTTACAATTGTTAGTATGTATTGGGAAGGTAAGGAAGCATATTTATTGCCACTGAAGTGGAATCTGTACTCTCACTGGGGGAAAGAATCTATGGCAATCTCTTTATTGACTCTTCTTGCCAACCTGCTGACCCTTTACTTGTTTGCAATAACACTGTTTACTTACTTATTTACTGTTAGTCTGTGGAAGTTTGTAATTTGTTCATTAGTAGCTAACTGAACATCTTCTCCATAGTTGAAAAATATTCCAGTCTCCTTTAGGTGATAAACACAGAAAATCAGTGCAATTCACAGAACTGCAGTGAGGAATTTAGTTATTACCAATGCACTTTGGCAATAAATATACACAAGTGGATGAGAAGGATGGTCAAGTTTTGAAATCCCTCTCCCTTCTTTTCTTTAATGAATGAAGATCCCATTGCCTCTGGCTCTAAAGTACTCACAGTGTATGGCATGTGTTTAAGTGTGTGGAGAAAAGAAGGCAAGCAAATGAATAATTAGAGGATTGGATAAGACCATAGCCAATGTGTGAGAACACAGAAGCAGCAGGGTGCTTGATTCTGCTGGGAACATAAGGAAAGTGTTCACAGAAGATACTTCATTGGAGCTGAAGAAATGGGTGAGAAACTTGATACATAATACATGACCCATCTGCCAGTAATTAACATCAGTCTCATCTAGATACCTATACAAATATACACTCTCAGTGCCCAGGAAGACCAGTATATTGAAATTTGCAGTTTGAAACATTCTCAAGTGAGTTGTGCATATATTCAGGTGGCCCTAGTGAAAACTCCTAGTAGTGGGGAATACAGAGACTGAACTGGCCATCTTCTGTAACCAGGCAAGCCTTTCCAGAGGAGGGATTGGTACACCAGCACAGGCACAGAACCTTCCACCTACAATTTGTCCTGCCTACAAGATATGCTGAGGTAAAGGTGGAGCAGAACTTGTGGGAGTGACCAATCAAAGACTGGTCCAACTTGAGACCCATGCCTCAAGAAGGAGTCCACCCCTGACACTGCCTGGAGGTCCAGGACCTAGGATAGAATCAATATGGCAAGCAGAAAAAGAAAGTCACGACATGATTCCTAATGATACTCTGCTATGCTTGTAGATGAGCCTAGCATGATCATCATCAGAGAGGCTTTATCCAGCAACTCAGCAGAGCCGATGCAGAGACCCACAGCAAACGATTAGGCAGAGCTCAGGGAGTCCTACTGAAGAGGGGGAGGAAAGATTGTAGGAAACAGAGGGCTTGAGGACACCATGAGAACCCGACCCACAGAGTCAACTAACCAGGGCTCCTAGAGGCTCACAGACTGAACCGACACTAGGAAACCCTTACGGATCTGAGTCAGGAACAGGAGTTGTCTGGTATTATACTTGCCTGCTTTTGGGGACCCTTTTCCTCTTGGTGGGTTGCTTTTTCCAGACTTAATACGGGGGTTTGTGCACAGTTTTCGTGGAACTTGACATGTCATGTTTGGTTGCTGTCCCCGGGAGGTCTCTCTTTTTCTGAGGAGAAAGAAAGGAGAAGTGGATCTGGGGGACAAGGGAGGTAGTGGGGTAGGAGAAGACAAGAGAGGGGGAACTGATGATGTAACATATGAGAGAAGAATAAAAAAACAAAATAAAACAAAAAGACAAAGTCTCAATCTGTACAATTCACCATTAATTTGTCCTAAGATTCTAGAATCAACATGCAGTTTAGCTCCAGGCCTGTGCTCACTTGTTCTGGAATTTTATGCTTCTGGGCTACAAAGTGGTAAAACAAATCAAAGAAAGATTCCTATGCCAGATATAGTGAGTTAGACTTCCAAGAGTCTAAGAAAATATTTTAATTTTCCAACCTGTAAATCTGAAAGTTATGTAAATTGTCATGATGCTGCTCATTGGTACCTGGGTCTCAAGCAAGCTTCCATGGAA